GGTGTAGTTGGTGTAGTTGAGTGCGTGGGTGTAGTTGATAAAAGGAGAGATGAGCCATAGATAAGTGAATGGACGGATGGGGGTTAGGAAATATCATAAATGAGCAGGTTGGTAAGTGGATGGATAAACAACGAATGAATGGCTGGATATTTTAGTGGATGGATAAAGAAAATGAGTAGCCTGGATGAGGATGGATGATGGGTGGGTGGACAGATGAGTGGAAGCAGGATGTTAAGTAGGAAAATGGATAGATGGATAGATATGTGAATGGATATGTCAATAGAAGGATGGAGAAAATAAGTGGGTAAGAGTATGTTTGAATGGATGGATTAGTGAACGGACAGATAGTGGGAAGCATAGTTGAGTGGGTGGGTAAAAGGAGAGATGAGCCAATCGATAAGCAAATGAATGAATGGGTGAGTGGATAGATGGTGGTGGGTGGATGGGTCGTGGGATGGAAGGCTAGTGAGCTGCCCCTTGGCCAACACATTGGCTTTCCTTCCTGCTATCTCCAGCCACTGCCATGATTGTGGGGTTGTTGGTTTTCCCAATCGGCCTGGCCTCTCCATTCGTCAAGGAAGTCTGCGAAGCCTCCTCCATGTATCACGGTGGTAAGTGCCAGCTGGGTTGGGGTTACATAACCGCTATCCTCAGTGCAGTCCTGCTCAGCCTCCTGCCCATCATCAGCTGGCCCCACACAACCAAGGTCCAAGGGAGAACCATCATCTTCTCCAGTGCCACCGAGAGAATCATCCTCGTGCCAGAAATGAACAAATAAAAAATCTCCTGGGAGGAGCACACTTCGCAGTTTTATGAAATCATGTTGTAGCCAAATTCAAATCCCACCTTTGCTCCTTCTTGCTGTGTGACTTCAGGCAAGCCACTTTACCTCTCTGGAACTGTTTTTTCTTCTGGAAAATGAAAGTTGCAATCATGCTTACCTCATAAGGTTGTTGTGAGAATTCACTGGAAATACTCTAGGTAAATAAAGCACTTTGCACCATGTCCGGCCCATAGTGTTCAACAAACATTAGCTGCTGTTATTACAATCCTTACCCCATAGGACTGTGCTGAGAATTCAGCATCTTTATGAAAAGTGCCCAGGCTAATTCTGAGTCCATGGCTGTCACTCAAAAGTGACATTGTTTAATGGGCATGTGCATATTCTCTCTTCTTTTTTTTTTTTTTTTTTTTTTTTGAGACAGAGTCTCTCTCTGTCACCCAGGCTGGAGTGCAGTGGCATGATCTCGGCTCACTGCAATCTTTGCCTCCCGGGTTCAAGCGATTCTCCTGCCTCAGCCTCCCAAGTAGCTGGGACTACAGGTGCCCGCCACCATGCCCTGCTAATTTTTTGTATTTTAGTAGAAACGGGGTTTCACCATGTTAGCCAGGATGGTCTTGAACTCCTGACCTTGTGATCCACCTGCTTTGGCCTCCCAAAGTGCTAGGATTACAAGCGTGAGCCTCCGTGCCCAGCCTCTCCCTTCTCTTTTTATAATTTTTCCTTTTCTAGATAATTTTTAAATTATTTATTTTCTCATTAAATATTTAGTGAGTGCCTATTATGTACAAGATTTTGAGCCAATGGGTCGAGGCGTGGTGGCTCACACCTGTAATCCCAGCACTTTGGGAGGCCAAAGTGGGTGGATCACGAGGTCAGGAGTTCAAGATCAGTCTGGTCAATATGGTGAAACCCTGTCTGTACTGAAAATACAAATAGGTGTAATGGTACACACCTGTAGTCCCAGCTACTTGGGAGGCTGAGGCAGGAGAATTGCGTGAACCCTGGAGGCAGAGGTTGCAGTGAGCTGAGATCACGCCACTGCACTCCAGCCTAGGCAACACAGCAAGACTCCATCTCAAAAAAAAAATATTTTGAGCCAATGTTGGATGTGGGAGAAGGAGTTAAGGACTTGTCTCATTCCTCATGCAAATAATCCCACTGATGTGGAAACTACACTGTTACTTGGGACTCTTTAGAATCCATTTCCAACCTCTCTCTTCAGGTTCTTTCTTGTCACCCACCCAACCCCTGTGCCTCTCCTTTCAGCCACGGTGAAATTCCAAGCCCACAGAAGTCCTCTTCCTGTAGCAGGTCCGGTCTCACCCAATGCAGGCCTCCGTAACAGCTGTTTCCGGACCCAGTGGTTAAGTTAAATATTAAAAGCCAGTGCCCTTATACAAAGGCTGGAATGCAACAAAAGCCCACCAAGAGTTGTGCCGAGGCCTTTCCTGGGCCTCAAAGGATGACAAAATAATGAAGGAGTTCTTAACAGGATCCATGTAGGATTAAACAAGTTTTATCGGGGGTCTGAAGAAACTCCCCAGGCCTCCACAAATAAGTTTATTGGAGGCCTGAAGGCATTCCCCAAATTCCTGTGATTTAGCAGGAGATAAGATAAGGGTGATCACCTCATTACTTGGACCCGTTTAGATTAAGTAAATTTATGGAGGCTCCAGAGGAAGGTCTTCAAGACTCGGACCTTAGCTATAGATTAAAAGAAGTTATTTATCATTGATTGATTGATGGATTGATTGATGAGACTGAGTTTTGCTCTTGTTGCCCAGGCTGGACTGCAATGGTGTGATCTCAGCTCACTGCAACCTCTGCCTCCTGGGTTCAAGCGATTCTCATGCCTCAACCTCTTGAGTAGCTGGGACTACAGGTGTGTGCCACCACACCCAGCTAATATTTTTGTATTTTCAGTGGAGATGGGGTTGCACCATGTTGGCCAGGCTGGTCTCAAACAGCTTCCCAGAGTGCTGGGGTTACAGGCATGAACCACTGCACACGGCCCACTCCTGCCTTTAGATGAATGCACGCTTACACACAGACATATAACTTAGAAGGTATAAAAGCTCTGAAAAACTTTGTAATTTTGAGTTGGTCTGGCAATAATTTCCAGGCCTTCTCCCTGTCACCAGTTACAGAAATAAAAACTCTCTTCCTCACCAGTTCATCTGCATCTCTTTACTGGGCCACGAGAAATAGCAGCCCGACCCTCAGTTTGGTTGGGGAATATTCCCACCTCTACGGCTTGGCACATGCTGCTTGCTTTGTCAGGAGTCGATCTGTTGGTTTTTTCCTGTCTTGACACATTGCTCTTCTTTGGGAGCAGCACCTAATCTTCCTGTAAAAAATGACCCGCATCCACTCTGTGGCTACCTTGGGCTTTAAGATGGGTAAATGAGCCCTTCTGGCAAATCGAGCCTGGTCAGAAAGCTTGACTCAGAGTTGGGCATGGGCTCTGTGGAAGCCACCATGGAGGAGAACAGAAGCACGAGATGGAGAGAGGTGGAGCTCTAAAAACTTCATCTGAACACCTGGACCCAGCCACACCTGACTCATTTCTGTAGGAGACATGGTCCTAGGCGGCCCTAGGCTGGCATCTCCTAGCATACCTGCCCCAGAGGAAAGAGTGAACTTCTGTTTCCTCTCTTGGTATATATAAATCCCAGGGAAGGACTCTGATCAGCCTGCAATGGGCCATATGTCCACCCCTGGGCAGGGAGGAGCATGTCAGAGGTCTCACTAGAAGGTCACCGTTACAGTTCCCCAAAGGATGCTGGGGGAGTGCTGGTACCGGAAGTGGGGAAGGATGCTGAGCAGGCAGAAACACTCAATGGACATTTCTCTCCTTAAGGGAGTCTTTCTTTTTTTTTTTTTGGGACGGAGTTTTGCTCGTTACCCAGGCTGGAGTGCAATGGCGCGATCTCGGCTCACCGCAACCTCCGCCTCCTGGGTTCAGGCAATTCTCCTGCCTCAGCCTCCTGAGTAGCTGGGATTACAGGCACGCGCCACCATGCCCAGCTAATTTTTTTTGTATTTTTAGTAGAGACGGGGTTTCACCGTGTTGACCAGGATGGTCTTGATCTCTTGACCTCATGATCCACCTGCCTCGGCCTCCCAAAGTGCTGGGATTACAGGCTTGAGCCACCGCGCCCGGCCGGGAGTCTTTCTTATCCCAATTTCACAGAAGCGGAAACTGAGGCTCAGAGAGGTAAAATGACTTGCCCAAGGCCACATAACCTATCAGTGGCGGAGCTGGGATTTGAACCCAGGTCTGTCAGACTCTGTGGTAGATGCAAAATAACACCTGGATTTGTTCCCTCTGTCCCCATCTATCCAGCTCATCATAATCAAACTCTTTTGGCTTGAAACATCCACCCAAGAATATACATGAACAACCCCCAAGAGTGATTCTCTTATTCTGAAGACACATCGATCACAGAGAATGCAGCTTGGTATTTACCTTTCAGTCTGAACAATAAGAACAGCCTGACAGCTTTTAAAAACAGAATAGAATAGAAAAAAAGGAATTGGAAGTCTAGGAAGATACCACAAGGTGTTCAAATGGACTTGAAGACAAGTGGTTCATTTCAACTGTTATCAGAAGCACTTCAGTGCAAACCAGTCTCATGTGGGAAGATTCCTTAAGCCTCAGGCAGATCCCAGTACAATGAGGGGCAAGTGGGAGCCACCAAGTAGAATCCAAACTCAGTCTACACATCACCTCCTGGTGCTTGCAACATGCTCCCTCTTCTCTATAATAATCTCACTACGGTCCTCAAGTTTCTTAACTTTCTCTTTGCACTGTTTCAGCCATGCCAAAGGGAATGATTCTCCAGCCCATAAAGCGAAATCAGTTACAGAGAGACTCTGTTGTCTTTCTATGGCAATAGATGGAGTGTTATGTTTTCTTTATCAAAACAAGAGGCATTCATTGTTTACAAGGAGTCCCGCACCTACAAAGCCTGGAAATTACTGTGCCTACAAATCTTAAAAAAGAAAGCCAGGAAGACACCAGAGGGTCCCTGTATCACATCCTCGTGTAATGGAAAGTCTCCACAATCCTGATGGTCATTTGAATTCTGCTGAAGTTGACTTAGAAATGAATCGCCAAACTGGTACTTCACGAAGTATCAAATTGTGCTCCTCCAGAGTTTATACCTGTCCTGGGCTCAAGCTCTCACTATGCCCAGTGGCTTGGAGGCCAGAAAGGTGTGACACTGGGAGCCCTTTCCTGACAGCAGAAGCAGGTGCAGATCACTGTAAATGCAGCTCCTGTCAAGAACTGACGGCCTCATCACACCCAATTTCGGAATTTCTCTAAGACACAGCCCAGGAGGGCCCAAGGCTCACTTTTTCCAAAGGTCTCCTCCTACAGGCACATTCTCTGAAGTTTCAAAGTCTCACCTGAGAACCTGAGAAAGGCAGATGATGGGAACTTAGGACAAATGGGTTCCCAGCCCCATCCTCAGTGATGCTGAGGGGCAGAGGGTTCCAGTGAATGAGGTGGAGGGGTCAAGGCTCAGTCCAGAACCAAAGGAGGAATTATTATCTCCACTTTGAGAAGTGGAAACTCAGGCTGAGAGGTGTGAAAGGCAAATATCGTGGGCCCCCAAATCACTAAGGAAAACGCAAGCCAGAAATTACTTAGGGTAAACCTGCCTCTAATTCTATTCAAAGTAGCCCTCTGCTCACTGAGAGAGATGTGTATCAGATTGCCTCCTTTGGAAAGGCCAGTCAGAAATGGAAAAGAATTCAAGTGTTTGTGTCTCACTCATCTGTGACCTGTACGCTTCTTCCCGCTTCAAATACAAAATATAAGTCTTTCGTATTTGCTTCAAGTTGTTCTGCCTTTCCAGAATGAACCAATGTACTTCTTAGATATATTGATTAATGTCTCTTGTCTCCTTAAAATGTATAAAACCAAGCTGTGTCTCAACCACCTTGGGTACATGTCCTCAGGACTTCCTGAGGCTGTGGTATCATGGGCACATCCTCAACCTTGCCAAAATAAACTTTTTTTTTTTTTTTTTTTTGAGACAGAGCCTTGCTCTGTTGCCAGACTGGAGTGCAGTGGCATGATCTTGGCTCACTGCAACTTCTGCCTCCCGGGTTCAAGTGATTATCCTGCCTCAGCCCCCTGAGAAGCTGGGATTACAGGTGCACACCACCATGCCTGGCTAAGTTTTGTATTTTAGTAGAGATGGGGTTTCGTCACATTGGCCAGGATGGTCTTGATCTCTTGACCTCGAGATCTGCCCTCCTTGGCCTCCCCAAAGTGCTGGGATTACAGGTGTGAGTCACCATGCCCAGCCCAAGTGTGTGTAGTTAGAAAAGCCTTTACAAAAGCAAAAATGTTCTCTTAGGATTTTTCCCCCATAAAATGTATTGCTAATGATCAGAGCCCAACAGTGCACATGACCAGCGCACACGCAACAGGTACCCAGCACTCCCCAGGTCTGGCCATGCCAGGCAGCTGCAAACAAGAGTGAAGCCCTCCAGGAGGAGGGCCCGACGGACGGAGTTCAGGTTGAAGTCAGAGAAATTAGACTGGAGGCTCCCAGGGACAGTGGCAACATCAGGACCAGTGTTTGCCCTGAGAAGCTTCCCCCAGGCGGAAGCATATGTCCCAGATAAAAGAGCTTCCACCTGCTGGCTGCTGTGGGTTTCATTCTTGCTCCTGCTAAGAGTCTTCCAAGAAAGTGGTGATGTGGCACACCCAAGCAGCCAGTGCCTCCTGGAAACTCCTCTACTTTGCTAGCTTAGTTGGAAATCTTTTTCAATTTAAAACCTGAAGTTTTGATGGTGCCCATTATATTAAATCAGGCTGTGCGTCTGTAGCTGAAAACCAGTCTTCCTCAGTCCATGTTTAGAGACTGACAGAGGTGGGGATCTGTGCAAGGTGCTCACTGCCTGATGACGATAGTTCTGAATGGCAGCCATGAGTGAGACCCAGAGATGTCGGGGGAAATGAACTCGCTGTCTTTGGGAGGATCAGAGGTGAGAAATGAGCTAGCTCAGCAGTCGGGATTCAGGGAAGTGTTAATTTAGAGCTGTACTCCCACGTCAAATAGCTGACTGACTGGGAATGCCTGGGTGCACAGGACCTTTGGGAATGTGCTAGACTCTTCGCAAAAATGGCCTCACTTATCTCCCACCGTGCATCTGTGCCCTTTTCTTTTTTTGAGACAGAGTTTTGCATTGTCACCCAGGCTGAGTTGCAGTGGCATGACCTTGTCTCACTGCAACCTCGGTCTCTTGGGCTCAAGCGATCCTCACACTTCAGCCTCCTGAGTAGCTGGGACCACAGGCACATGCTACCACATCCAGTTAATTTTTTTTTTTTTTGGTAGAGACAGAGTCTCATTATGTTGCCCAGGCTGGTCTTAAATTCTTGGCCTCAGGTGATCCTCCTGGTTTGGCCTCCCAAAGTGCTAGGATTATAGAGGTGAGCCACTGTGCCTGGCCCATGCTCCTTTTCAGTGTCACTTTCCAAAGACTCATCAGGAAGTACAGTCTATTTTCCTACCCTTTGAATCTGGGCTTAGCTATGTGACTTACTCTGACCAACAGAATGCGGCAGAAATGACTTTATGCCAGTGAAGCTGACACCAAGAGAGAGTACATGCTTCTGCTTACCTTCCTGGGATCTGCCATCGCAGCTATGTAAACAAGCCTAAGCTAGCCTGCTGGAGGATGGGAGATGCGGAATCCCATCTCCCGTAGTTTCCCCTACGGCCCTGGCCAACAGCCCAACAACCATCAGAAGCAGAGCTGCTTATCTGGACATTAGCTGATCACAGACACATAAAGAAGTCTGGCTGAGAACAGAAGAACCTCCCAGCTGAACCCAGCCTGGACTGCTGACTCACAGGATTATGAGCTAAATACATGGCTGTTTTAAACCACTACATTTTGGGTAATTTGTAATGCAGCCCTACTTGTGGTAAGCGCCAGCTAATACAAGAGGTCAGGAGTGATTCACCTTTTCTGGGAAAAGGCCAGGCAGCTATCACAAAAATCTGACCCCACGTAGGGTCACTAGGGTGTGAGTGGGAAGACGCAGTCTTCAGAAGCAAACATTTCTTTCAAATAAAAAAAAGACACAAAAAATAACCGATTCACATATTTCTCTGTTTATATATATTTTCTCTCTATATAGACACAACTCTTCAGCAAACACTTACAAGATATGTGGGCCACACTGAAAGAGAGAGTGCACTCCATGGACAAAACAACTCTCACGCATCCTATCCAGGACACAGAAACACACACAACGTACAGAGATCTGAATAGGCACAGTAAACTAAATAAATACGACTTATGCCAAATCACAACCACAGATGCTCTCTGGAACATCACGAGAGAAGGCAGAGAAGAGATTTTGTGCTGTACTTTGAGACTAGTCTGTTAAAAAAATAAATAGGAATCAGAAGGTCTGGGACCTGGCTCTTGCTAAAATAACATCCTCTGTAGCAAACAGCTGAATGGCAAAATAAGTTTTCTCCAGAGGGGCCTTTTGCACATTTCTTCCTGTCCTGGGAAGCTGGGGTACCTAGGACAGGGAGACGCAAGTCTGACGGCAGCCAGAATGCTGCCGTCTCCCGTTTCTGCTTTGGCGGGGTGGGGTAGGAGCTGGGAGCCGTGAAGGCTACTGTAGCCTTGCGTCTCCCACGGAACTGTCATCAGGAAGGGCTGACTAGACCTCTATCCACCCTGCACCAGAGGTTGGGCAGAGGCTGGAGGTTCGGGTGCCGTTGAAGTTCCTGCAGCCAAGGGAAATCAGCCTTCACAAGCACACCAGGCAAGGATGCGTTTCCATCCCAGTGTGCTCAGGGTGGGAGGACTAACACGCCCCTCCGAAAATGCTTCACCACGCTGCTTCACCCATCCTCTCCCGCCTCCAGAACCCCAGCTGTCATCCTCTGACCACCCTAGAGGTGGCAGGTCTCCCGGGAAGAGCCTTTCCCTCGGATGCTTGCTGGGTTTCTCCGATTCTGGGTGCATTCTCGGAAGAGAAGAGCGGGAAGACTGCTCTATTGAACGCTCACTTCGGGTCTGTTTGTGATTTGGTGACACTCTGTGTGACGACCTGGAGGGGACTGTTCCCAGACCCAGCACAGCCCTGCATCTAGTTTATCAGCAGGTATTTCCCAAGGAAAACACACACCACACTCTACCCTGGCCGACCTCTGCCTTCCTTTTCCTCCTTTGCCCTGAGTAACCGCACTTAGAGAAAAGCCGCCCTCCACCACCATCAAGTAGCTTTCACAAAACACACACCTTTCCAAGACCCAATACTTGGAAGGTGACGCAGTTTTTCCTGCAAGTTGGCAGCAGGACGTAGGCTCTGCCCTGCCTGGGGGGATCTAAGCAGGATCACAAAGAGCTCTGACTGTCTCAGGCCTACGGACACTTTTTGGGTGCCATCACCTAGGTGGGGAGATGCTTTTCTTGAAAAGAAGAAAAGAAGTATCTCCTGGCATCAGACAGAGGAGAGAAAAGGAGAAAATACAACAAATGGAATCCCAGACTCCCAAGAGAGACGTGTGAGAGACTCCCAAGAGAGACGTGTGAGGGACTCCTGTGTGCCTTCTCTTTTTTTTTGAGACCGTCTTGCACTGTCACTTGAGCTGGAGGGTAGTGGCGTGATCTCAGCTCACTGCAGCCTCTGCCTACCGGGTTCAAACTATTCTCCTGTCTCAGCCTTCCAAGTAGCTGAGACGACAGGGTGCCCGCCACCACGCCCAGCTATTTTTTTTTTTTTTTTTTTGAGACAGAGTCTCACTCTGTCACCAGGCTGGAATGCAGTGGCACGATCTCGGCTCACTGCAACCTCCGCCTCCTGGGTTCAAGCAGTTCTCCCACTGCAGCCTCCCAGGTAGCTGGGACTACAGGTGCACACTACAATGTCCAGCTAATTTTTGTCTTTTTAGTAGAGATGGAGTTTCACTATGTTGGCCAGGATGGTCTTGATCTCCTGACCTGGTGATCCACCTGCCTCAGCCTCCCAAAGTGCTGCAATCACAGGCGTGAGCCACTGCACCTGGCCAATTTTTTTCTTTTTTTTTTTTTTGTATTTTTAGGAGAGCCAGGGTTTCACTCATTGGCCAGGCTGGTCTCAAACATCTGACCTCATGATCCACCCACCTTGGCCTCTCAAAGTGCTGGGGTTACAGGCATGAGCCACCACGCCCGGCCTCCTGTGTGCCTTTTCTAAGTGAGGGAGGCCTCAGGACCAGGGTGGCTTAGCATCAGAAGAATGGGGCAGGAAGTACATTTGTAGCCCCTCCTCCAAGTCGGTGGTTCTCAAACAGGGGCAGTTTGGCCTGCAGGGAACACTTGGCAACATCTAGAGACATTTTTGGGGATTGTCACAACTGGGGGTGTGGGTAGGGAATGATGCTACTGGCATCTGGTGACGCCAGGAATGCTGCTCAGCATCCTCCAATGCAGGGGACAGTCCCTTCAAAAAGAATCACCTGGCCCCAAATATCAGCAATGTGGAGGTGGAGGGTCCATCTCTAAGTCGATCTTTAGCATGGCCAGAACATCTCCAAAGGCCCCTTTCAAAGCAGCATAGAGGCAGCCCCACAGACCTCTTCTACATCGATTTCCAAAAAGAAATGCCCTCCCAGGTCTCATCTCACAAGACGGTTTGGAGGAATAGGGAAAGAAGAAGAAGAGGTCATTCTGGACATCAGGAAAACAAAGATGGGTCCTCCCCCACCAACAAGCCCCACCTCCTGTAAGGGGGGAACGCCAGACTTGGGCAATCTTTGGTCAAACAGGAAAACGTAAGGCTGAATTGAAGGGGTACTCCCTCCACCCCAACTGCCCAGAAGTTTCTTTTTGCACTGAAGTCCATGCTTGTGAACAGACACCAGGACCCCGCTCCTGGGGTGGCCGTCCGGCCAGGAGGAAAAGTAAGCAGAGGAACAGGTGGCAGCTCGGCGGAGGCTGCCTGGGTGAGGTGCCCCTCACTTGTTCTCGATCAGAGTCTGCACCTTGTACACGAGGTCCCGCGCCAGCTTCAGGACTTGCTTGGTGTTGTGTCGTTCAGCCATTTCTGAAAGAGCAGAAGGAAAAATCTCATGAGCCTCCTTCTGTGTCTAGTCTTAGGGTGCACTTCTAGCCCCTGGAGCTTCTTGGGGGGCATCTTCATCACAGACTGACTCAGGAAGCAGAGACCCTGAAGAAGGCTGATACCCCTGGACCTCAGTTTCCTCATCTGTAAAATGGGGATTGGAACGGCAGCCGCCTCACCAACTTCCTGTAGGGATTGAATGGGATGATGCTGGTTCACAGATGTGCCATAAAAAGGCGAGGTCCTTCTACCCCTCCTATAAGCAGAATGACTGAAAGCAGTGCTGAGCACATAGCAGACGCTGAAAGATATGAAAAGCAGGCTGGGCACGGTGCTCATGCCTGTAATCCCAGTAGTTTGGGAGACTGAGGCAGGCAGATTATGAGACCAAGAGATCGAGACCATCCCGGCCAATATGGTAAAACCCTGTCTCTACTAAAAATACAAAAATTAGCCGGGCATGGTGGTGCACACCTGTGGTCCCAGCTACTTGGGAGGCTGAAGCAGGAGAATTGCTTGAACCCAGGAGGCGGAGGTTTCAGCCGGCAAAAACTCCACCTCTTGCCCCCACCCGGGGGAAAGAGGGAACCCCAATAAAAAAAAAAAAAAAAAAAAAGGAGGAAGGAGGCAACAGAAGGAGGAAAAATAGAGATGGAAGAAGAAAAAAGGACAGAAAAAAAACAAAAAAATTTTAACAAGATCCACGCAATGTGGTCAGACCTCTAAACTAGAATAATCCTAAACTTAGACATTTATCAAACAAACCATTCAGT